CTTTTTGAACTTTTGGTGGTCGACCGGGTGGTCAACCGGGTGGTCGACCACCTAGGCAAATTTTTTTTTTTTTTTTTTTTTTTTTTTTTTTTCACCTTTTTCACCTCATTAATGGTGGATTAGAGCCACCAAATTAGTGGTTTCTACCATGACTGTTAATTAATCTATCCAACAAAACGAAAAAGAACAGGGCATTCTTGTTTTGTAAATAGTCCTCGATTCCAAAACACTTACCAAACAATGCAAGCATTCTACAATGGAAATGACAAACTCATACACTATACACAATAAAACAAAAAGAAATGACCTTTATAAAGATCCTTTGCAATTAGAAAAAAATTATTATAGCTGAAAGTTCAAATTCAAAGGCCATGTAAAGTCAGAAATGCAACGCATACATGTTGAGCGAGAAACAAGAAACAGTAATATAATGACAACCATATTTGTTTAACATCATATGCGACAATATTGCATTGAGAAACAAGCATGATCAGTGAGATCTATTAAACTAAATACAATATTATCCCATAAAATTTTAAACAAATTGTTGTAGGAAAAAAAAAAAATCATTCCTAAATAAATAAAACCACACAATCCATACCACAAAGACAAGGCAATGTTGATGTTTGACCTTGATGCATAGTATTAACAATTAAAACATTTCAAAAGCACTTTAAAAGAGTTTATTGTCAAAAAGAACCGTAGTACCTAATTCTGTATATCCCAAACAGGCTACAACCCAGTCAAAAACTAATTAACTGATATTTTCAACTTTCAGACTTAAGAACACAAACTGGCTTCTGAAGTATCGATGTTGCTTCAAATACTATCATCTGATAAAATTGTTTCCGGTATTTTATCAGCTGCAAGACAAAATATATACCACCTTAGTTAAAATTTGGAGGGAAAAAAAACAGAAAAAGAAAAAAGACAAGAAAAGTAAAAATGTGAAATGCACGCACCTCATCTTCGGAAATCTTACTGAAACCAAATCTGTTTGTCCATAAAGATTCGGCATCATCAGCAGCAGGCAGTGTTGGAAAAGGGCAATGGTAGAGGGTCACAATTTTTGTGGCTCAAATGGCTCAAAACTGTCAAAACGACGTCGTTTTGAGCACAAAACATGCCAAAACGACGCCGTTTTGAGCACAAAACATGCCAAAACGACGCCGTTTTGACAGTTTTGAGCCATTTGAGCCACATAAATTGTGGCTCTCAAACATTATTTGTTGGAATGGTGTTATATAGGTTTATTTTGGATCATCTTTGAGTCCAAAATTGAGTAGGTCCCAACCGTTTTTTGGGTTGGATCCGTAGAGGTGATGTGTTCTTTGCCGCGTGGGAAGTCACACGGTAAAGACGGAACGTCAAAACCATTTACGAGTGAATGATAAGTTGACGTTGTTTTCGGGTCTAACATTAATTTTTTAGACAAAATACATTTGAATTTTTTCAAAAAATTATTGTGAGAATTTAATTTAAATCTAAATTCAAATTTTGGTTTCCTAAGTGGTTTCCTAAGAATGTACCTCTTCCTTTATTGGTTAAACTGTTCAAACAGTTTAATAAAAATATTCCAACAGTTTAAAAAACTGTTCCACCAACGGATACTTTTTCAAACAGTTTGAAAAATTGATCTAAGCAACGGACAGATCACTATTCAACAGTTATCAGTTTGAATAGTGCTTGCACCTGTTCAATTTAAATGTGCACCTATTCACTTTAATTTGGTACCTGTTCGGGTCAATTTTTTGCCTATAAATTCAGACCATTTCCAGCAGTCTTGGACACGAAAAATCTGTCTGAATTTATTTCTCTTGCTGTCCAAATTTTTCTATTTACATTGTTTCTTCATATTAGTTTTAGAGTAAATTTAAAGAGAGTATAGAACACAAGGTTCTAATTCGTCGGACAAATTTGTTTGGAATGTTACTACAAATTTGTGAAGATCATTGTATCTTGGGAGATAGACGCCACTCAACCGTAAGCACCATAGTGGGACGAATCTTCCTTAAGGACAGAGTGTCACACACTCGACTTGGTCTTTGATTTTTAAATTCGGTTCGATAAATAAATTCGGTACGTTATTTATTTATTTGTTTGATTTAGTTTCAATTTATTTTATTTACACTGAAGATTGTTCCAACAATCTTAAGACAGATTCGAATTATTCTGTTTACAGAATTTTTCATTTGTTTCCCTTTCGCTTTCTTCTTTTAAGAAAATTATTTTCTGTGGATTTACAAAATAATATTCTGGTTGGAAAAATAAATAGTGATTTTATACTATTTGACAGATAGTAGTAATATACTGTCTTTTTTCTTTGACAACTAGTAGTAATATACTGGTGCCATTAACAATTCAGAATATTTATTTGTGGAATTTTTTCAGAAATTAATTTTGGTTTTCAGAAATTTTTTTTGAGTGTTCATTAATTAAAATCCTGTTTTAGTGTTTTAATTATTGAAGTATTACAGAAATTTAATTTTCTGTGTGGAATTAATTTGGTTAAATAATTTTTATTTTATTTCCAAATTAATTAAAAAATAAAAGTTACATTTTTTGTTTCTTTTATTTTTACGAAATTTAATTTTGTGAATTTGGATTAATTTTCTGTGTAGTATAAATTCTAATTATAATTTTGTTTATAATTTAAAATTCATGACTACTGAAACAAATGCTCAAACAAGTACTACTCTCAACCTGGCTCATTTTCTTCGTGAGGATGCTCCTATTTTGAAAGAGGATGAAACCGACCGACAAGTGGTTGTTGCGGTCGATGCCTAGAAACATGCTGATTTCCTTTGCCGGAACTACATTTTGAATGGACTTGACAACACATTATACAACGTCTACAGTCCTATCAAGACAGCAAATGAACTTTGGGAGTCTCGGGAGAAAAAGTACAAAACGGAAGATGCCAGCTCAAAGAAATTTGTGGTTAACAAATTCTTGGACTTTGTAATGATTGGCAAATTCCTGGACTTTGTAATGGTTGATTCTAAAACTGTGATTAGCCAAGTTCAAGATCTCCAACTCATTCTGTAAGACATTCACATAGGAGGCATGTCTCTCAGTAAATCATTTCAAGTTGCAACCTTAATTGAGAAATTACCACATGGTTGGAAGGAATTCAAGAATTACCTCAAACACAAGCGCAAAGAAATGTCTTTGGAAGAATTAATTGTGCATTTGAGGATTGAGGAGGACAACCGCAATTCTGAAAAGTGGGCTGGTAAGCATCCTATGGAGTCTAAGGCAAATATGGTGGAACATGCTTCAAAAATCAAGAAACGGAAGTCTTTTGGAGAAAATTCATCGCAAGACTCTAAAGGGGGGGAAAATAAAAAGTACAAGTTTAATGGCAAATGTTACATCTGTGACAAAGGGGGACATCGGGCCAAAGATTGCCGTAGCAAAGGCAAAAGAAGAACAAGTAAGAAGCTTGCTCAAGCCCATATGACCAAAGTGGACAATATTTTCAATGGTGTAGATGATATCAATCTTTCTGCAGTTGTTTCCGAGGCAAATCTTGTCAGAAATCCGAAAGAATAGTGGGTGGACACTGGTGCTACTCGTCATATCTGTGTCGACAAAAAGATGTTCACATCTTATTCTACTGTGGACAATGGTGAACAACTTTTTATGGGCAACTCCTCAACTTCCAAAGTTGATGGACAATGGAAGATTGTTCTCAAGATGACATCTAGAAAGGAACTCACTCTCAACAATGTGTTGCATGTACCAGACATTCACAAGAATCTTGTTTTCGGATCTTTGTTGGGTAAGAATGGGTTTAGGCTAGTATTTGAGAGTGATAAATTTGTACTTACTAAGAATCGGATGTATGTAGGAAAATGTTACATGTCTGATGGCCTTTTCAAGATGAATATAATGAACGTTGTACCCTTAGTTATTAATAAAAATACATCTTCTTCTTACTTGCTTGACTCTTCAAATTTATGACATGGTAGATTAGGACATGTTAATTATGGATCTTGGCGTAGATTAATTAATATGGAATGTTTACCTAAATTTTACATTGATTCAAATCATAAATGTGAAATTTGCGTTAAGGCAAAATTATCCAAAACTTCTTTCCATTCAATTGAAAGAAGTACGGAACCACTTAAATTAATTTGTAGTGACATTTGTGATTTTAAATCAATTCAAACTGGAGGTGGGAAAAAGTATTTTATCACTTTTATAGATGACTATACTAGATATAGTTATGTTTATTTAATTCGAACCAAGGATGAAGTTTTGGAAACTTTCATTCAATATAAGAATGAAGTTGAAAATCAACTTGGTAAGAAAATCAAGAAACTTAGAAGTGATAGAGGTGGTGTATGAATCACCTTTTGGTGAGTTTTGTAAAGAACATGGAATAATTCATCAAACCACCGCTCCTTACTTACCTTAGCAAAATGGAATTGCTAAAAGGAAAAATAGGACTTTAAAAGAAATGATGAATGCCATGTTAAGACGTTCTGGATTACCTCAGAACTTATGGGGGAAAGTAATACTTTCTGCAAATTATATTTTAAATAAAGTATCCCGAAAGAAAGTGAATCAAACACCTTATAAATTGTGGCATGGAAGAGTACCGTCCTACAAATACTTAAAAGTGTGGGGGTGTTTGGCTAAAGTGGCTATTCCTAGTCTTTGACCATTGATTGCATTTTCATTGGTTATACCCAGAATAGTAATGCATGTCAGTTTTTGATTCATAAATTAGAACATTCCGAAATGCATATAAATACTATTATCGAATCTCGGAATGCATATTTCTTTGAACATGTATTTCCAAATAAGACTGGCCAAGAGACTAGTAACAATAAAAGATCTCATGATGCTATTACTAGTCAGGATCAAGAACATGATCAAGAACAAGAGTTAGATCAAAATGAGGAAGAGGAACCTAGGCGTAGTAAACGTGCTAAAACCTCAAAATTTTTTGGTCCTGATTTTCTAACATTTTTGTTAGAAAATGAGCCTTTAACTTTCAAAGAGGCTATGTCCAGTCCTAAAGCTCCTTTATGGAAGGAAGCTATCAATAGTGAAGTTGAATCCATCCTGCAAAATCACACTTGGGAATTGGTGGATTTGTCACCAGGTTGTAAACCTCTTGGGTACAAGTGGATTTTCAAAAGAAAATTGAAAGCGAATGGATCAATAGACAAATACAAGGCAAAACTTGTGGTCAAAGGATTTAGACAAAAAAAAAAAGTCTTAATTACTTTGACATATACTCACCAGTTACTAGAATAACATCCATTAGAATGCTAATTGCCATTACATCTCTATACAAACTAGAAATTCATCAAATGGATGTGAAAACTGCTTTCTTAAATGATGAGTTAGATGAAGAAATTTACATGAAACAACCAGAAGGTTTTTCAATTCCAGGAAAAGAAAAGAAAGTGTGTAAATTGGCTAAATCATTATATGGTTTAAAACAAGCGCCAAAGCAATGGCATGGGAAATTTGACAAAGCAATGATGTCAAATGGATTCAAAATTAATGAGTGTGACAAATGTGTTTATATTAAAAACACAGACAAATGTTATGTCATTGTATGTCTTTATGTAGATGATATGCTCATCATAGGTAGTAATAATGATATGATTAAAACTACTATGTTATATATGTCTTTATGTGAATGATATGCTCATCATATGTTGTAATAATGGCATGATTAAAACTACCAAGAAAATGTTGAATAAACATTTTGACATGAAGGACATGGGGATTGCTGATGTAATACTTGGTATGAAAATTACCAAAGTATTAGAAGGTTATGTTTTGTCACAATCTCATTACATTGAGAAAATACTTGACAAATTTAGCAAAGATGATAATCATCTTGCTAGAACACCTGCGGATGTTAATTTGTTTCTTTCTAAGAATGTACAGGAAAGTATTTCTCAATTAGAGTATGCCCAAATTATTGGAAGCTAATGTACTTGATGAACTGCACTCGCCCAGATATAATATATGTAGTAAGTAAATTAAGTAGATATACGAGTAATCCAGGAGTAGAACACTGGAAAACAATTATAAGGGTTCTTAGATATCTCCGATTTACTCGTAACATCTGGCTTAATTATACTAGATATCCAGCAGTACTTGAAGGATACTGTGATGCAAATTGCATATCGGATACTAGAGACTCGAAGTCTACTAGTGGGTATGTCTTTACTCTTGGTGGGGCGGCCGTATCTTGGAAATCTTCCAAACAGACTTGTATTGCTAGGTCTACTATGGAATCTGAATTCATAGCTTTAGACAAAGCAGGGAAAGAGGCAGAATGGTTTCGCCACTTCCTTGAAGATATTCCAATATGGCCAAAACTGGTGCTTGCTATATGCATACATTGCGATAGTCAATCAGCAACAGGTAGAGTACAGAGTCATATGTATAACGGTAAGTCACGACACATTCATCGTCAATATAACACCGTAAGACAACTACTCTCTAACGGAATTATTTCCATTGAATATGTGAAGTCTAAAGACAATATAGCGGATCCACTAACCAAAGGGTTAACAAGAGAGCTAGTTGAGAATTCATCGAGGGAAATGGGACTTTAGCCTATTAAATAAGAGTTACCACAACGGCAACCCAACCTAGTTAACTGGAGATCCTAAGATCTAGGTTCAAAGGGACAATCGAGTTGTATATGACTCAGAAGGATCACTGGGGAGTTAAACTAATACCCCATTTCTATGATGAAATAAGTGATGTCTGCAGCGTTTTAGGTTAAGTAAAATTTTAATGATTCTTATATCTAAGTAAACCTAGTGGAGTATGGCAGGATACTTTTCATAAGAATCACCTATGTGAGTGTGAACTGGGCCGGTTCTATAAGATTTGTGAAGGGCTACGAGTCTTTAGAGCACTCATGAAAGACTAAGTTGTTCAGGGCCAAAATGAACACAATAGTGAGAACTAAACTGTGTCTGGTAATATACACAAACGGCTGAACAGTTCAAGACATCATGTTCACTGGTTAGCTAGTAAATCCGATAGTGTCTCACAAGGGAAGGTTCAAAGCCAAAAGCTACCTATCCTTTGCAGAATATTTCCAATTTCTGTACTCTCTGTAATTAGATCATGTTGTTGCATTTTCTCTCCGTCAAATTCCATTCATGTGGGGGATTGTTGGAAAAATGGTGTTATATAGGTTTATTTTGTGTCATCTTTGAGTCCAAAATTGAGTAGGCCCCAACCGTTTTTTGGGTTGGGTCCGAAGAGGTGATGTGTTCCTTGCTGCGTGGCAAGCCACACGGTGAAGACGGAACGTCAAAACCATTTATGAGTGAATGGTAAGTTGACGTCGTTTTCGGGTCTAACATTAATTTTTTAGACAATACATTTGAATTTTTTCAAAAAAATTATTGTGGGAATTTAGTTTAAATCTAAATTCAAATTTTGGTTTCCTAAGTGGTTTCCTAAAAATGTACCTCTTCCTTTATTGATTAAACTGTTCAAACAGTTTAATAAAAATATTCCAACAGTTTAAAAAACTGTTCCACCAACGGATACTTTTTCAAACAGTTTGAAAAATTGATCTAAGCAACGGACAGATCACTATTCAACAGTTATCTGTTTGAATAGTGCTTGCACCTATTCAATTTAAATGTGCACCTATTACTTCAATTTGGTACCTGTTCGGGTCAGTTTTTTGCCTATAAATTCAGACCATTTCCAGCAGTCTTGGACACGGAAAATCTGTCTGAATTTTATTTCTCTTGCTGTCCAGATTTTTCTATTTGCATTATTTCTTCATATTAGTTTTAGAGTAAATTTAAAGAGTATAGAACATAAGGTTCTAGTTCGCCGGACAAATTTGTTTGGAGTGCTACTACAAATTTATGAAGATCATTGTATCCTGGGAGATAGACGCCACTCAACCGTAAACACCGTAGCGGGGCGAATCTGTCTTAAGGGCAGAGTGTCACACACTCGACTTGGTCTTTGATTTTTAAATTCAATTCGATAAATAAATTCGGTACGTTATTTATTTATTTGTTTGATTTAGTTTCAATTTATTTTATTTACATAGAAGATTGTTCCAACAGGCAGCACAAGGGTTCTCACCTTAAGATAGGGGTGCAACTTGGGTGGATTCAACCCGAGCAACCCCAGCCTAGCCCGAATTTTTTTAGGGCTTGGACAAAATATTTTAAAATTCGGTACGGACTTGGGCAAAAATTCAGAAGCCCGAATTAAATTTGGACGGGTTTCGGCAAAGATGTCAAACAACCCAAGCAATCCGAAGCCCGAATTGTACATATATAGATATATAAAAATATTAAATATAAATATAAATTATTAGTCATTACATGATATTAAAGTAATTTATGTTATTAAATCATATTGAATATATATTATATATACAAATAACATAAAATCTTATTTTTTTTCTTTTTATTTTCACTCATAAATTGTAAGGACTTACTATAGTGCATCTCTCTACATTATATAAATTATTTGTTTTGATGGAATTAATGATTTTCTATAATAAAATAAAAAAATTATAAAAAAAAAAAAAAACCGAAATTCATTTACAATTCGGGCAACTCGGACAATTCGGGTTAGCTCGGGTCGAGCTTGTGCAGATAACCTCGGTTACAATTCGGGCTGGGCAAGTCTCAGCACAACTTGGCTGGGCTGGACAACCTCCCAACCCGACCGAACCCGCCCGAGTTGCACCCCTAGCTTAAGATATGCAAGTAGGTTTTCGTTACGAGAGAATAGCACCTGGAAATAGCCCTGCAAAAACTGTAATAATTTCTCACAATCAGAAGATATGTAACCCTTCCACCAAACCTAATTGAGATAAAATACATCATCATTATAAAATAGAAAATCTAAAAAGTAAATTCCAGAATATTTCCCAAAAGGAACCAAATCGAAGCATAAATTCATATTGTCCACATCTCTCTCATTAAAACTAACCTGTCTTGAAAATCAATACTTGTTGCAACCAAAGGAAGTTCCGCTACTTCCTCTCCGAAATCGAATAATCCTGAGAACACAATGGTTGAGCTGCATAATTAGAAATGATGATAATAAGTAACCAATACAGGGTGCAAAAGCTACATAAATCCTTAGAAATAATCTAATTTGACTAAACAATATTGCACAATATATCCCCCAAATTCTTGATCTCTCACGTTTCTCCTGCAGAAAACATTTGAAAGTAATTAGCACATAAAAATTCTAGTTAATACATTGCAATACCACAAAGATAGTAATAACAAATTGCTGATAAACATAAATGATTGGGAAAGAGAATGCTAATTGCTTACCCGTAACATCTTTCGGAATAAGATCAATGCTGGCGATGCTTGAAACTTCTATCGGTCAACCCCGTTCTAAAAACAAAAAAAAATTAACAAATAATTATTATTTCAGTGGAAAATATTTCTTCTGGGGTAGACACTAAGAACCTACAAGTCAATCATAGGAAGGTTTAGAAAACTTCAAAACTATCTAAATGGCTCCCAAGAAGAACTCAGTGCATAAGTGAAATCTCAATGGTTAAATCCATAAATTGACTACCTAAGAAAGAAAGAAGGATAATACTTTAAAAAGGTGTGGTGTGTCGAATACCAACACTCATTGCACACTTCCTGACACGTGTCGAATAAACGATCAAACATGTTCCATCATGTAGTCTTTGTTTTATTTTATTTTTTATCATTTTTTAATGAACACTTAAAATTTGACAAAAGGATACTAAAAGAATGCACTTACTGCAAAGGGTTGCGGTTATTTTTATTTCATTTTTAATTTTTGAATAAGTAAAGAGGACACCAGAATAAAACTACGAAACTGGCTTTCCTTAAACATAAACACATATAAAAATCGGAATGAAATAACAAGGGAAAACAAACAACCTAAAAGAAACAAAAATCAATTCAAAGGTTAGTGCACTAATTTAGGATTGGTATTGATTCAGAAAGGAAAACATATATGATTCATAAGATACTGGCAGTGCCACAACAGTTGCTTCTTTCAAGAAAATGGAGTTTACACTCAATGGGCCACATTCAGAAGCTTTAAGTGAGCAATATCATTAATTAAATAAAGGTAGATTCATATCTTCTCTCTTCAGAATAATCAGTAATTAATACTACTGAAACCTCAACCGTCACAAAATATGCCCCCA